ATGCACCAAAATAATTCTACTAGTGGAAATGATATACGTATGATACAACGTTATATTTAAGCGTCCCTTAAATGAATAAAAAATTGTTATAAACCAAAGTAAGTCTACTAGTGGAAATGATATGTACACGATACAACATTATATTTACACAGCCCTTAAATGAACGAATAATTATTATAGACCAAGGTAATTCTACTAGTGGAAATGGTATACCTATGATACAATATTATATTTACACAGCCCTTAAATGACTCAATAATTATTATGGACCAAAATAATTCTACTAGTGGAAATGATATACCTATGATACAATATTATATTTAAATGTCCCTTAAATGACTCAACAATTATTATGGACCAAAATAATTCTACTAGTGGAAATGATATACGTATGATACAACGTTATATTTAAGCGTCCCTTAAATGAATAAAAAATTGTTATAGACCAGAGTAAGACTACTAGTGGAAATGATATGTAGGTACACGATACAACATTATATTTAAGCGACCCTTAAATGAACGAATAATTATTATAGACCAAGGTAATTCTACTAGTGGTAATGGTATACCTATGATACAATATTATATTTACACAGCCCTTAAATGACTCAATAATTATTATGGACCAAAATAATTCTACTAGTGGAAATGATATACGTATGATACAATATTATATTTAAATGTCCCTTAAATGACTCAACAATTATTATGGACCAAAATAATTCTACTAGTGGAAATGATATACGTATGATACAACGTTATATTTAAGCGACCCTTAAATGAATAAAAAATTGTTATAGACCAGAGTAAGTCTACTAGTGGAAATGATATGTACACGATACAACATTATATTTAGGCGACCCTTAAATGAACGAATAATTATTATAGACCAAGGTAATTCTACTAGTGGAAATGATATACCTATGATACAACATTATATTTATAGGGCCCTTAAATGACTCAATAATTATTATGGACCAAAATAATTCTACTAGTAGAAATGATATACGTATGATATAAGATTATATTTAAACGGGCCTTAAATAAATCAATAATTATTATAGACCAAAGTAATTCTACTAGTGGAAATGATATACGTATGATACAACGTTATATTTAAGCGACCCTTAAATGAATAAAAAATTGTTATAGACCAAAGTAAATCTACTAGTGGAAATGATATGTACACGATACAACATTATATTTAGGCGACCCTTAAATGAACGAATAATTATTATAGACCAAGGTAATTCTACTAGTGGAAATGGTATACCTATGATACAATATTATATTTACACAGCCCTTAAATGACTCAATAATTATTATGGACCAAAATAATTCTACTAGTAGAAATGATATACGTATGATACAATATTATATTTAAATATCCCTTAAATGACTCAACAATTATTATGGACCAAAATAATTCTACTAGTGGAAATGATATACGTATGATACAACGTTATATTTAAGCGACCCTTAAATGAATAAAAAATTGTTATAGACCAGAGTAAGACTACTAGTGGAAATGATATGTACACGATACAACATTATATTTAGGCGACCCTTAAATGAACGAATAATTATTATAGACCAAGGTAATTCTACTAGTGGAAATGGTATACCTATGATACAATATTATATTTACACAGCCCTTAAATGACTCAATAATTATTATGGACCAAAATAATTCTACTAGTGGAAATGATATACGTATGATACAATATTATATTTAAATGTCCCTTAAATGACTCAACAATTATTATGGACCAAAATAATTCTACTAGTGGAAATGATATACGTATGATACAACGTTATATTTAAGCGACCCTTAAATGAATAAAAAATTGTTATAGACCAAAGTAAATCTACTAGTGGAAATGATATGTACACGATACAACATTATATTTAGGCGACCCTTAAATGAACGAATAATTATTATAGACCAAGGTAATTCTACTAGTGGAAATGGTATACCTATGATACAATATTATATTTACACAGCCCTTAAATGACTCAATAATTATTATGGACCAAAATAATTCTACTAGTGGAAATGATATACGTATGATACAATATTATATTTAAATGTCCCTTAAATGACTCAACAATTATTATGGACCAAAATAATTCTACTAGTGGAAATGATATACGTATGATACAACGTTATATTTAAGCGTCCCTTAAATGAATAAAAAATTGTTATAGACCAGAGTAAGACTACTAGTGGAAATGATATGTACACGATACAACATTATATTTAGGCGACCCTTAAATGAACGAATAATTATTATAGACCAAGGTAATTCTACTAGTGGAAATGGTATACCTATGATACAATATTATATTTACACAGCCCTTAAATGACTCAATAATTATTATGGACCAAAATAATTCTACTAGTGGAAATGATATACGTATGATACAATATTATATTTAAATGTCCCTTAAATGACTCAACAATTATTATGGACCAAAAGAATTTTACTAGTGGAAATGATATACGTATGATACAACGTTATATTTAAGCGTCCCTTAAATGAATAAAAAATTGTTATAGACCAGAGTAAGACTACTAGTGGAAATGATATGTAGGTACACGATACAACATTATATTTAAGCGACCCTTAAATGAACGAATAATTATTATAGACTAAAGTAATTTTACTAGTGGAAATGGTATACCTATGATACAATATTATATTTACACAGCCCTAAATGACTCAACAATTATTATGGACCAAAATAATTCTACTAGTGGAAATGATATACGTATGATACAATATTATATTTAAATGTCCCTTAAATGACTCAACAATTATTATGGACCAAAATAATTCTACTAGTGGAAATGATATACGTATGATACAACGTTATATTTAAGCGTCCCTTAAATGAATAAAAAATTGTTATAGACCAGAGTAAGACTACTAGTGGAAATGATATGTAGGTACACGATATAACATTATATTTAAGCGACCCTTAAATGAACGAATAATTATTATAGACCAAGGTAATTCTACTAGTGGAAATGATATACGTATGATATAAGATTATATTTAAACGGGCCTTAAATAAATCAATAATTATTATAGACCAAAGTAATTCAACTAGTGAAAATGATATATGAAGGGGGTTTGTGTTTTTTTATGCTTATTATATATCTGTATTATGTGTGATAACTAAATATATATTGATTTACGTGTGCAAGTGGAATTATTCAAAACTCCAACAAAGGATTATGGGCCCAGCAATATACCTATGATACAACATTATATTTAAGCGACACTTAAATGACTCAACAATTATTATGGACCAAAATAATGCTACCAGTGAAAATGACATACCTATGATACAACATTATATTTAAGCGACCTCTAAATGAATAAACAATGAATAAATAATTAAACTAGTGCCAATTATATATATAATATCATTGTTAAATAGGACCTTTTTGTTAGTTAGTCACCTCGTATTTCACTTAAAATATATTTCCCTTTTTCTGGTCCAAACAATCTGGAAATTCGACGATAAATAAACTATTTATTTGAATTTTCTTCTCGATGGAATAATTGTTCCGCAGGAAGAAGAAAAACAGGAAACAGCTTCCGCGCGTGCACACGATGTAATTCTAAAAAAAGGATGTAGGGCATAAACTGTAGTCACTCTACGCGAACTTTTGTTTCCGCTATTTTTCACGATACGATCATTGCACGCTTAGAACATGTCATCGTTACAACAGCAACAGTATCGCGTAAGAGGATTAGTCCCCGGGTGTTCGTGCAATGTATTCGTCTGGCGGCAAATGGCGCAGCGCCGTCGATCAAACACCGAAAACTTGAAAACTGTACATCGTAAATACCGGACATACTCGAAGTCAACGACCACTTCACTGCGTTCGAAATACTTCGTTCGGTAGTGAAATAATAAAATGAAAGCACACGCGCCCGTTGCAATTTCCGAACAACCTATGTATAACGGAGAGAATCATTTTTTCTAGGGAAACAGAACATTTTCATCATTATAAAATTAAATTATCAACCAAAAATATTAATTATTCCATAGAACATGAATTAAATCGAAAATCTAAATGTTCAGGCTGTTCAAGATTTGAATATGATAAATTTTTTTTACAATTCAGAAATGAATTAAAATTGTTTTTCATCGAATTTCCGGACTTGTGATGTATGGTTGAACCTGATTTTAGTGGAACTCCTCGATTAATATCAAAGCGATGACCACCATATTTGTCTTTGATAATGCAATAATCATGTGTGCAAAATATTATCAGTATTTTCATATTTCATTATGTGTACTTAATTCGAAACTATTGAAGTTGTTGATTTTGAACGCAATTAACCAATTTAAACGTTTGACTGGATTAAATTTTGTCAAGTTTGTTGGGTCGAGTGATTTTTATATTATTTTAATTTATCTGTATATTTGAATAACATAAATAAATGTATGTATATATATATATATATATTCAAAGTTCAAATACAACAAAGAATGGAGAAATAGCAGACCAACTAAGCTACACAAAGTTCGAAACAATATGTATGACTTCAATCCGGCACTACCACTAAATAGAAAAGATCAAGTGAAAACAACCCGATTAAGAATAGGACACTCAAGCTGGACACACTCATACCTTATCACAAAAACCTATCCAAATTCCTGCGACAACTGTAACGTACAAAATACTATTGAACACATCTTGACAATTTGCCCTAAATACAATATGAAGAGGATTCAACATGAGCTACAAAATTCACTTACGATCCTACGAGAAATAGACTCATGCAAAAAAGGTTTAAACTTATTAAAAGACATTAAAGTATACCAATTGCTCTAAATATGATCAGTTCTAGGTAACCCAATTGTGGTCACTAATAACCAACAAGGTGCATGTGACCTAAAAAAGATTGACTCGAAAAAAAATGAATTTTGATACAAATTCGAGACACCCTATATTTAATCCCGCGAATGTTTTGTTGCAGAACCCAGTGGCGACAGCTTTCGAGATTTTCTGGATGATCTTCGAGCCGATCCTGTTCGCCGTGACGGGCGCCCAGATAAAAATCGACGAGCTCGATGGAAGAACAGTTTACATCGGGATCGGGTGTCTGCTGACGGCGATCGTGATACGAATCGTGACGACGGTTCTGGTTGGAATCGGCTCGAAGCTGAACCTGAAGGAGAAGATCTTCATCGCGTTCGCCTGCATGGCGAAAGCCACCGTCCAGGCGGCCCTGGGCTCCGCCACCCTCGACAAGGTCGACCCTAACGACCCGCAACAGGTGATGTACGCAGAGACGGTGGTGATGATATGCGTGCTCTCGATCTTGCTCACAGCCCCGGCGGGAGCCATCATTATCACACTCTCAGGACCGAAACTCCTCACAAAGACCACAACGCCGGTCGCTCCGCCGGAAGCTTGGAAAGCGCGCAGACCATCCATTCGTGACATTTCCATCATCAACGAGGACCCCGATCTCGAGGAGACCGCAAACGAGAGGAAACCCTGAGACGAACGTGATCCGTGTTCACGTTGAACGTTCTATTTTCTTAAGGTCATGCAACGCTCAGCAAAAGAATATTTTCAAAATCTCCATCCAAGCTTCGGTCGTTTATGTTTCATTCCCTCGATTCAAATATATTCGTTGCTACGTTCTGACGCTGTTGTCATGGCGGTGCCTGTGATCGATGATTTGGAAAGTTGAGAGCAAGTTCTTATAGCGTTTCATCCTGTTTGACGATCATGCAACGTGAACAATAAGAGAATAGTTTCTGAATCACCATCCAAGGTTCTGTCGTTTATGTTTCATCCCCTTGATTCAAATACATTCGTTGCTACGTTCTGACGCTGTTGTTATGGCGGTGCCTGAGATCGATGATTGGAAAGTTGAGAGCAAGTTCTTATAGCGTTTCATCCTGTTTCACGATCATGCAACGTGAGCAATAAGAGAATAGTTTCTGAATCACCATCCAAGGTTCTGTCGTTTATGTTTCATCCCCTCGATTCAAATACATTCGTTGCTACGTTCTGACGCTGTTGTCATGGCGGTGCCTGAGATCGATGATTGGAAAGTTGAGAGCAAGTTCTTATAGCGTTTCATCCTGTTTCACGATCATGCAACGTGAGCAATAAGAGAATAGTTTCTGAATCACCATCCAAGGTTCTGTCGTTTATGTTTCATCCCCTCGATTCAAATATATTCGTTGCTACGTTCTGACGCTGTTGTCATGGCGGTGCCTGTGGTCGATGATTTGGAAAGTTGAATTCAAGTTCTTATAGCGTTTCATCCTGTTTCACGATAATGCAACGTGAGCAATAAGAGAATAGTTTCTGAAACTCCATCCAAGGTTCTGTCGTTTATGTTTCATCCCCTCGATTCAAATACATTCGTTGCTACGTTCTGACGCTGTTGTCATGGCGGTGCCTGTGATCGATGATTGGAAAGTTGAATGCAAGTTCTTATAGCGTTTCATCCTGTTTCACGATAATGCAACGTGAGCAATAAGAGAATAGTTTCTGAAACTCCATCCAAGGTTCTGTCGTTTATGTTTCATCCCCTCGATTCAAATACATTCGTTGCTACGTTCTGACGCTGTTGTCATGGCGGTGCCTGTGCTCGATGATTGGAAAGTTGAGAGCAAGTTCTTATAGCGTTTCATCCTGTTTCACGATCATGCAACGTGAGCAATAAGAGAATAGTTTCTGAATCACCATCCAAGGTTCTGTCGTTTATGTTTCATCCCCTCGATTCAAATATATTCGTTGCTACGTTCTGACGCTGTTGTCATGGCGGTGCCTGTGATCGATGATTGGAAAGTTGAATGCAAGTTCTTATAGCGTTTCATCCTGTTTCACGATCATGCAACGTGAGCAATAAGAGAATAGTTTCTGAATCACCATCCAAGGTTCTGTCGTTTATGTTTCATCCCCTCGATTCAAATATATTCGTCGCTACGTTCTGACGCTGTTGTCATGGCGGTGCCTGTGATCGATGATTGGAAAGTTGAATGCAAGTTCTTATAGCGTTTCATCCTGTTTCACGATCATGCAACGTGAGCAATAAAAGAATATTTTCAGAATCTCCATCCAAGGTTCTTGTCGTTTATGTTTCATTCCCTCGATTCAAATATATTCGTTGCTACGTTCTGACGCTGTTGTGATGGCGGTGCCTGAGATCGATGATTGGAAAGTTGAGAGCAAGTTCTTATAGCGTTTCATCCTGTTTGACGATCATGCAACGTGAACAATAAGAGAATAGTTTCTGAATCACCATCCAAGGTTCTGTCGTTTATGTTTCATCCCCTCGATTCAAATATATTCGTTGCTACGTTCTGACGCTGTTGTCATGGCGGTGCCTGAGATCGATGATTGGAAAGTTGAGAGCAAGTTCTTATAGCGTTTCATCCTGTTTGACGATCATGCAACGTGAACAATAAGAGAATAGTTTCTGAATCACCATCCAAGGTTCTGTCGTTTATGTTTCATCCCCTCGATTCAAATATATTCGTTGCTACGTTCTGACGCTGTTGTCATGGCGGTGCCTGTGGTCGATGATTTGGAAAGTTGAATTCAAGTTCTTATAGCGTTTCATCCTGTTTCACGATAATGCAACGTGAGCAATAAGAGAATAGTTTCTGAAACTCCATCCAAGGTTCTGTCGTTTATGTTTCATTCCCTCGATTCAAATACATTCGTTGCTACGTTCTGACGCTGTTGTCATGGCGGTGCCTGTGATCGATGATTCGGGAAGTTGAATGCAAGTTCTTATAGCGTTTTGTCCTGTTTCACGATCATGCAACGTGAGCAATAAGAGAATAGTTTCTGAATCACCATCCAAGGTTCTGTCGTTTATGTTTCATCCCCTCGATTCAAATACATTCGTTGCTACGTTCTGACGCTGTTGTCATGGCGGTGCCTGTGATCGATGATTTGGAAAGTTGAATTCAAGTTCTTATAGCGTTTCATCCTGTTTCACGATCGTGCAACGTGAGCAATAAAAGAATAGTTTCTGAATCTCTATCAAAGACTCCGTCGTTTGTATTTCATTTCCTTGTTTCGAACATTCTGCTGTTATTATTAATATTAGAGACCTGTGATCGATGATCAGAAGTTGAACGCGAGTCCTTCTCGTTCCAGGTCGTATCAACCGTCGTAAGGGGAATAAGAACAGTGTGTAACAATTAGACTGCGAACAGTTATGCGTTTGTGGGAAATTTTAATTTTCAAAAACCTACAAAATGCACGTAAGATACGAATTTATTATATTTAGAGGGCAACCCTCTGCAAAGCTCCACAGTCAATAATGTTTACTTAATCATGAACCTTACAAAGGCTAATTGAGAACGTCTGGTTCGAGGTAACTCGCATTTCATTCTAGGAATAATGTTTCTTTCTAAAATGGTTCTGATTCGAACCGGTTGTTCTTGCGCTACGAACGAATGGCTCACTGAAACGCGCTCAAAGAAAATATTTGAAGAATCTAAGTAAATTTTCGATCGATTCGATTTCACCTAATATCTCTCGATATCATACAGCGTCTTTCGAATAAAAATATTTTTCGACTCCATCGAAGGTTTTGTCGTTCATATTTTACCCTTTTGTCTCAAATATTCGTTGCTATAATCCAGTCTGTATTACCATAACGATATAAATGGAGGTGATGGATGGTTGGCATGCGAGCCCTTAATGTACGAATCATTCCTGCTGTAGTATTATACGCTTCAATAATTAATCTCGTGTCGTGAAAGTTTTTAACGGCCAATGTTCCTACTAGTAGTGGAGAGTCTCACCGTTTCTCTATGGGGTATTGTTCCAGTACAGGGCAGCTTTTTCCACCTTAAATGTCCGTTATTCGGAACAGTGGGGAAGAATTCCAATATATAAATGTGTTTTGTTCTTTTAAGGGGCGCACAATACAGGGGACAATAGATACCTTGTGAATTCAGGCACGAAAAAGAGTTCTGGTTCAACTTATTTCTTTCTTTTTTTGGTACGATTCAATGGAGTGGTGAGTTAAAATTTTTAATCCTCGGCTGGTACGGTGTCAGTATTTCTTTCCATTTTCTTTATTCACCACGTAGAAACAAAAATGTAAAAATATACAAAGAAACTATTCTACAACTTAAACCAAACTAATGGTATCGTAACATGGTAAATAAATATGGTTTAAGAGATGGTATACAATATTTCGGTTCATCGATTTATGCAGAGCATCCTTTCACGTCGAACATACAAAATTAACCCAGCACGGTAGAATATCCATTATAAAAACGTTCAAAATAGAATACACCTTTATAGAGTATACAGGGTGGTCGGCTATCCATGGGAAAAATTTTAATAGAAGATTCTATGACGAATATCAAGGATATCAATTTCTTGATTGAGGCTTCGTTAAAAAGTTATTAAAAAATTAAATTAAAAAGTTTCAAATCATTCTGGAAAAAATATTTTGAGTTTCGAGGGTCGATTATAATCATTTTTGGTGAATAGACATACCCTCGAAATCCTTCCCATTTTCGAGAAAAAAATTCGAGAAGTGTGAAATTTTTTGATAAAATTAAAAAATTTCAAATCGCTCTGAAAAAATTATTTTCGGTTGCAGGGTTCAATTACAATAATATTTTATAAGTGGATATACCGTCGAAATCCTACGCACTTTCGAGAAAAAAATTCCTAAACGAAAATTTCATGCGAATATTTAAAACGTCATAACTTCTGAACGGATAGACGGATTTTAATGTTTAAAGAGGCAAATAACGCGTATTTTGATGTGGAATATATAGAAATTCTAAAAATATTGCAAAACTTGTTCTTTGACCTCGTAAAATGAGAAAACCCCCATAAAACTAGTCCAATTTTCAAACTGTCATAACTCCTACAATAGTGAACGTATCTTATTGAAATTTAGCATGGAAGTAGAGCTCATGGATACCTACCAGAAAGTATTAGACAATTTTTCTATAGGGCGTCAAAAAAAATTATTAAAAATGAAAAACGTATTTCCAAGAGAAATCAATACAGAAATGCCTAAATTTTTCAACGAAAAAAAATTTTTTCAAATCGTTCTGAAAAAATTATTTTTAGCTAGGGTGGTCAATTACAATCATTTTTGGTGAATAGGCATACCCCCGAAATTTTGCGCATTTTCGAGAAAAAAATTCAGTACTGCTGAAACTTTAAACGTTAATAACTTTTTAACGAAGCCTCCATTAACAAATTAGTATTCTTGATTTTCGTCTTATTTTTGCCTCTAGAATTATTTTGCTGACGTTGCCCAAGGTTTGAAGACACTTCGATCCGATCTTTCGTTGCAGATCGTCGATCCGTCGATTTCCGAATGATCCAAATTGGTTCATTTAATCGTCTCTGTTTTATAAAACAGGAAATCAAACGAAAAGTATGATCATTGATCTGGAAGATAGACGAAGGTATACAGGGTGGGGTACTTGAAATAGGTCACCCGGATAACTCGTTTATTTTTAAACGTAACAAGGAATATTTGGGGCAGACATTGTTCAATTTTATAGGTGACATAGTTTGGTGGCATTTTTTTCGTCACGGTACATTTCACGGCGGTTGCATTGTCTTAAATATAACAATACGTCTTGTTTCACTTCTAACAGTTCAAGATCACTGTTTGAAACCTACA